TTATATGTGCTTAATTTTTCATTAGAAAGCATCATGCTAAGTGTCCTGCAAGATAGAGCAAGACAGGTTTTCTTATTGTATTCTCAGGTCTATTTTTCTACGTTGGGTGATTCTATAAAATCGGTTGTGTCTTTGATTCAGCTGAGTGAAATGTGTGGAAGCTGGGGTCTTTTTTTCTTCCGTGTGTGCATTTTGTATCGGAAGGGAAAAGGTATTACTGAGACAGCTATCTGTGAAATTTAGTTTAATGTTTTTAAAAAGCTGCACATAAAATGGAAGTAGATTTGACGTCTTTTAGTCTATATTCAGTCTATATCTGAATGTCGCTGTGAACCAAAATGGTAATTGTCACCTATGCAGCGTCTTCATTTGCTGACTGTAGTACGTGGAGTTTTCCTGCTGGTAATGTCTCAAGGCAAACAATAAATGGGCTTTAGGAGAATGCATTCTTTGTAATTATTAGCATAAATATGTAAATGTGTATGTATGCTTTGAGCAGTTTGCCTTTCCCGTGGTCACTGCGTATGTTTAGTCACATGAAAATGAAATGCCGTAACAGTTCATGCTGGGAAAGGAAAGTTATTGGAACTGGGTTGAATGAGAGAAGGAACAGAGCAGACTTCTGGTACCTTCCTTTCCTGTGATACTGGTCCAGGCAAAAGCTGGAGAGTTGAGAGGATGTCCTGTTTGTTTTGTTTGAAAGAATGCTAACTGACATTTTAAAGCAGAGTATGCATTAGTGGCATGAAGGGAAGAAGAAAACTCTGTGAAACTTCATTTTAATTTCTGTTTTGGTGCCCTTTCTCTGTCGGGGCTACTTAAAAACAAACAAGCAACAAAACCTGCAGCAAAGTCCTTCGTGCTCTGGCACAGGCATTAAGCTCCTTTTTGCCATGGCGTAAAAAGAAAAAAAAGACTTTGGCATAAAATACTTTAACAAAGCAGTGAGTATGATGACTTTTGAAATACCTCTGAGTGCATCTGAGCACAGAGTGCTGCAGAGGAAGTGCTTAGGGAAAAATTGCTTGTCTGAGGTTTTAGAGTCAGTTAGGAACTTGTTAGTGCTGCTTTTTATATGTACAAAGCTGAGAAGTCCTGTGTTTCCCTGATTGTATTTCTGGATGTGGAATGGTACACTTCATCTTGTCCGGATCGCTGCTGTGCTTGTCAGTGGAAGACTGTACCTTGCTTTCCCGTGCTGTGCTGGCTTGAATCACACAGAAGGAAATCTTGTCCTGTGAATAACCTGCAGTATATTGCCACAGAAGAAACACCAAAGTGCCCATAGGAATCCTGATAGTCATCTTGCTAACGCTGTGTGCAGAGTTCTTGTGGCAGCTCAAAGCAAGGGCAGGTGGGAGGTTTTCACACTGCCTAAATACAGGGCTCAGGAAAAAAAGAAGAAGAAAAAAAAAAGTCTTGCGAGGAAGCTCTGGCTCTGAACTCTGACAATTTTGATGTGCTTTTGCTAGTGCATTTCTATCGTTGGGGTGGAGTTGAAATTAGGCGGCTGCGCTATAGTTGCTTCTTACACAAGTGTTGCATGTATCCACACATGGACATACACTGATTTATGCACGTGACACATTAACCAACCTTTTACTGCTTGGCCTGTGGCTGTCGTACTTTTGGTTGAAAACTGGTGCCCAGTTACTGAAGAACGTCAGCTGAGATGAAAAATTTGTTATGTGAAGTAGTGTCTGATCACTCTAAAATTAAGCTCCTCTCTCTCACACGTTTTCTAGTATTTGCATGAGTATTTACCCCAGCTGTATGGTGCCATATCCCTAGCAACGAAGAATTGTTTTCCTCCATGCAGACGAGACTGGGAATAAGATATGTGCAGCTTGAAACACTTCTTGATCAATCCATTTCTGAAAACTGCCTGTGAACTTTACAAGTAGGGCAACAGTACAAGTAGTGCTACGCATTCTACTCTTAAATACGTATAATCATTATAGAGAGAAATTTGAACATGTCTGTTCGTGAATAGAAAACCTATGGCTGAGAAAGTACTAGTATGCAAGGTGGTTTTTTTTGTAAGGCTGTAATACTCCAGAAGAATGTTTTACTATTCTCCTGCAAATTATTGTTTAAAACAGAAAAGTATCAAGATTTTACAAGCTCTGCCCCAGATCCAGTGATCATTTATAGTCAGGCTAAATGGTCTTATTAGATGTCTGTGGAGGATTAAGACTGTTTTTCTCTGTAGAGTGTTTTGTAGATAATGAGGCAAACTTCCACCTTTTTATTACTCATTGTAATAATTTAATGAATGTAAATGAAATGTTCCAGACTTAACTGAGGTGATGGGTATGCCATCTCACCCTCTCCCCATGTGTTTCAGATGTGAAGAGATTTGCTTTCTGGTTACAAGCAAGCAGAACAAAACTGTCTTGGGCATATCTGCAGAAGGGCTGCAAGATAAGCAGGATATGTGTCCTGTGTTACTTCTGGTTCTAACAGCAAAAATAGAGAGATTTTTGCTGAACACTTTCAACTTTTTTAGGCTATGAAGGAGTTTATTTCAGAATTGTTAAGAGAATCCAAAATTAATCCTGGGAGAGGTGTAAGTCTCCTCATGAACATCTGTCTTCTGATAGTGGGGATTACTGAGAGCATTCCTGTACGCTTCATCCCCATAGCAGGCTGTGTTTGTGCAAGTGTGCGCCTTTCTAGGACAGGGTTGTAGGGCATTAGGTCAGTGGTCTGCCTAGCTCGATATTTTGTCTCAAGTAATGAAAGCAGAGCTTTTCCAAGCAAGGAAGCATTTAAGCAGCAAAGCATGCATATGGTGATCTTTTCCCTATTATGATCTCACAATGAGCAACAGTGTAAAAACTTCCTGAGCCAGTATCAAAATCATTTTGATAGCTATGTATCCTCCATGAATTTATCTAATCTTTTTTTCTGAATGCCATTAAGCTTTTGATTTCCACAGCATCCTGTGATAGAGAGTTTGTGATTCCATCGTGAACCTTTTTCTCTTAATGGATCTTGTCCATTGTTCCTGTTTCATCAGCTGCTCAAAAGGCAACCGGACACAGATTTCTGTTTTGGGGGGTATGGAGAGGACTGAGCAGCAGTTTTTCAACACGGTCTCCCATAACATCCTCCTAGGGAAGCTCAGGTAGTGTGGGCTGGATGAGTGGTCGGTGAGGTGGATTGGGAACTGGCTGAATGGCGGAACTCAGAGGGTTGTCATCAGCGGCGCTGAGTCTAGTTGGAGGCCGGTAACTAGTGGTGTCCCTCAGGGGTCAGTACTGGGCCCAGTCTTGTTTAACTTCTTCATGAACGAACTGGATGAAGAGTTAGAATGTACCCTCAGCAAGTTTGCTGATGACACCAAACTGGGAGGAGTGGTAGATACACCAGAAGGCTGTGCTGCCATTCAGCATGACCTGGATAGGCTGGAAAGTTGGGCAGAGAGGAACCTGATGAGGTTCAACAA